CACATAGTTCTTTTGTTGTACACTTTATAAGCTTTGCTGTGTGCAGAATATCCCAAGAATACTCCCTCATCACTTCTCGCTAAACCAGTTCCATCGACTTGGTCGTGCTTACCACTTTCTTGATTTTAAAAGAGGATCTTACCTGCTTCTCCCTTGCACAAGCCTCACAAATTTTGTCTTCCTTAAACTTGATGTTAGGCAACCCTATCACCAAGTCCTTGGAGACTAACTTGTTGAGTTGATTTAGACTTGGATGTCCAAGTCTTTTGTGCCAAAGGAGGGGATCATTGTCCAACACACTTAAGCAAGTGAGTTCATTTTCTGAAAGAGTGGACATATCTACAATTTATATGTTATTTACTCTTTTTCTCTACAAAACAATCTTGTCAGTGGTAATTTATCACCAAACATTTGGTAGAGGTGAATGCTACCAAGTTACCTCTGTCACACAGTTGTGATACACTGGTTAGGCAATATTTCAAGCCATCTATCAAGTAGTCATTCTCAATGGAATGTGAGTCTGCCTTACCTACCTTTCTAACCCCAATGATCTCACATTTCTTACCATTTCCAAAGGAGACATTACCTCCTTTTATGTTCTCAAGTGAAAGGAACTGATTCTTACTTCCAGTCATATGCTTTGAGAAACCACTATCCATGTATCATATTTGGCTACTCCCCTTCACTTGGACCTACAAAACGAAATCAGGGGTTAGTCTTAGGAACCCAAACTAGTTTGGGTCCCTTTGTATAGGCAAAAGGGTGAAATAAATTCTTTTTAGCCCATCCCGGCAGCCTATTTTTCCCTTGAACAAAGGTTTTGTTCTTTTGACTGGCCTTTTCTTTTGCATTACATTCACTTTTGTAGTGACCAGTCTTGCCACAGTGTTTGCAGATTTTGTTCTCGGGAAGTGTGATGTACTTGCTTTTGGGATCCCACTTAGGTGCAAGGGTCCCATAGCCAAGTCCTCTCTTATTGCTACTGTGATGCTCTTGTAGCCAAGTTAGTGCATCAGAGGACTTATTCCATTTGCGAGTTCTATCTAGTTCATGCTTCACCTTGCCTTGATCTTCTTTTAGGACTCTTATCTGCTCATCTCTCTTGTACAACTCATCTTTCATTTTTCCTAGATTTTCTTCTAAGGTGAGATGTGTGTGGTCAGCTTCTTTTACCTGTTCCTAACTTTAGTTTTAAATTTTCAGATCTAAGGTCTAACACAGTGGTGTCCAGTTCAAGAACCTGGTTCTTCCACTCAGTATTTTTACTATCACTTTCACTAGCTCTGAGTTCCAGATTTTTGCACTTAGCTTTCAGGATCACACATTCCCTAGACAGCTGTTCCTTCTCATTGTTTATGACCTCAGACTCATCAATGAAATCTAGCAGTAACTCAGATAGCTTTTCCTTAGACAAAAATTTAATCTTGTCTTTGAGATGAATCACACTTACCTCTTGTTCATCATCTGATTCTCCATTGGCCATAAGTGCTTGTTCATCTCCAGCTTCATCTTCTGAATCCTCATCTGAGCTTTCTCCCCAAGCAGCAACCATAGCCTTTGTTGATCCTTTGTTCTTCTTGGGATGAACCTGTTCCTTCTTCCTGTTTCTTCGTTCAGCCCTTTCTTTCTTCCATTCAATTTCCCACTGAGGACAGTTCTTGATCATGTGGTCAGTCTTACCACATTTGTAGCAGCCCTCATTGGTCTATTTTTCAGGGGCCCTTCATTTGTTGAAGGTTGCACCTCTCGAAGAACCCTTTCCTCTCATTAGGTACTTCTTGAAATCCCTCGTGATCTTAGCCATTTCATCATCCTCTAGGTCTGCACCTTTAGCTATTCTAAGGGCCATGCTTCTTTCCTTCTTGGGTGCATCTATCTTCATGGTTTTCCTTCTAAGTTCATAGGCAGAGAGATTTCCAATCAGTTCATCCAACTTGAGAGTGGAAATGTTCTTTGATTCCTGAATAGCACTGATTTTGCTTTCCCAAGTTACTGGCAAAACCCTTGTCAAGATTTTCTCAACCTTGTCTTCTTCAAGGATAATCCTTCCAAGGTACTTAAGTTCATTTTTTGGTGTTGTGAACCTTGTATACATTTCTTGGATGGTTTCTCCTTTCTTCATGGTGAAATTCTCATATTGAGAATACAGCAGTGTTCCTCTTGATCTCTTTACCTGAGGAGTTCCTTCATGGGCCACTTGTAGAGTTTCCCAAATCTCCTTAGCAGTATTACAACTTTGAATTCTGCTGTACTCGTTTGGACCAAGTCCACACACGAGCAATTTCTTAGCCTTAGCATTCTTTTCCCACTTTTCAAGTCCTCAGCAGTGCAGTCAGCTCTAGTTTCTGGCACATCCATTCCTTTAGCATTCTTCTTTGCAGTGGCCAGGGGACCATCAGTAACAATGTCCCAGAGTTCATAGTCTTCCCCTATGATGTGATCTCTCAACCTGTTTTTCCACCAGGAATAGTATTGGCCATTGAAGAGTGGAGGCCTAATAGTGGATTGTCCTTCCAAGACTTTTGTGCGATAATAAGTACAGAAATTAAGCAAATCACTGAGCCAAAAACTGCATTTACAAAAAATCTTTTGTAAACCTAGGATTAACTCTAATCCCGTTGTAGCACACATCCTCAACTGTTTCGACAACTTCAAGTTAACTCTAACTTGAAAACTCTGAGTACTTAATACAATTGCTTCTAGATAAAGCTGAAAGGTACAATATAAAATGACCTACTACAATTGAACTAGAAATAAAGAAAGACACATAAAACTCTTTATGGAGCTGGTTCTTCAATCTGGTTCATGTAGCTTCAGGTTTGCACACTTGACTCACACACGGACTGCTTGCAAAAAGCCGCTCTCAATTCACGTTTAACTTCTGCATTTTTGTGCTGCCTGTAAAAGAGAACAACACTGATATTTAAGGAGTTAGCAGTTAGAGATTAGCTAGAGTTCGGATGCTACTCTTCCATGGTAGAAGAGTTCTAGTTGATTTCATCCTCTAACTCTATCCTTTTCTTAAGCCGTGTTCTCTTTGTATAAGGAGTCTTTCTCCTTATCCAATATGCAACCTTTTTGATCATGATCAGGAGATATCACTTCTGGTAAGTTAGATTTATCTCCTTCACGTGCATCTCACATGCTTGAGTTGACCATAACTGTGTCTCACAAGGATGGACCTGGTCCATGTCTGAGTTCCTTTGTCAGTCTTCAAATCTTCACCTGTACTTGGGCCAACAGGGGGTATAGGCAGCAGTTCCACAATCTCTCAGCTTGTCGATGCTCAAAATGCTGCAAATGAGGAAATAAGGTGATTGAAGGCGCATAATGCTATTCTTGAGTCTAAGCTCAATATGGCCAGCAAGGGATCTGTTTCCAGCAATGCTCAGGGAGAGAGGTTGCCCGCCTGAAAGCTGAAAATACAGAGTTGAGGAATCAAGTGGAGAACCTGAAGGAGCATCTGATCAATGATCAAAGGGCTGCTAATGATCGCATGGATAGTTTCCTCAAGGCCCTTGCTCCCTAGTCCTTCTGTTCCCTATCCAATGTCCCCTATCCTACTCTTTTGCCAGTTCCTTCTTAATCTTGCCTTGTCTTTTTGTTGATCTTCCTTCTTGACTGTGGTACATTAGTTTTTATTTGGATTCTATATGTGTGTGATTATAGTATTGCTACAATGTTTCACTTCTTTATCTAATTAATTATTATCATCGTCTATTTTATGCGTTGTTATACTCTTGCGTTCTGTTTTTAGCCATGTTGTGTGCGCACAAGTGGCATGAGTTAACTCTGCTGGGCTTCTTCTTGCATTTACTTGTCTCGTTTTTTAATGATGCCAAAAGGGGGAAGAAAATTGAAAGAGAGGAAACAGGTCCTCAGAGGGGAAAATTGACAACACCCGTAGGGGGAAGAGTGTAAGATCTGGTTCTCATAGGTGAATATCAAATCTAAGTTTTTCATCATAAAAAAATTATAAATTGATAAGTTATGTGCCTTTTGTTTTGATGATTTGACAAACTTCATGAGAGAACCAGATAGGGAACCTGATGCAATTAGTTCCTTAGTGTGCAGAGCAACTAATCAGATGTCTGTTTCAACTCTCAATGAAATCATTTAAGGGGACAACTGATGGAACAGATAGGGATTAGTTCCTCCGGTCACAGTACAAGCAGACTCTACAGTTGTTAAAGATGTTGCACTGTACTCGCAACAGGTTATTAGCACTGTTGAAGCATGCTATGTACCGGACACTCCCTTGCATCATCTTTGATGACCTCACTCGTATATTATCAACATGAGCAAGGGATTTCAACACACACTTGTATAACCTAAATATTGATTTCTCTCAAGTGTGCAGCCGCCTTTATTCTCTCTGAGGCGTTGAAGAACCAAACAACAAGAGAACAAGGACAAGATCCCAGCATTGATTATATCATGTGTCCTTAGTATTATTTTGTCTTGTGTTATTAAATTGTAATTCCTATACAGCTTTTCAGAAGCATTCATAGGACAACTTTTAAGCCATTATCTTTGTGGTTATTTTTACTAAAGTTAGTCAAGTGGTTAGCTTTGTAATAGAGTTATTACGAAGAGGTTTACAATATAGTTATTGTGAGTAGGTGAGGGATTGAGAGTTTAATTCCTAGATTACAATAGATTGTAATCTAAAGTTTGTTCAGTTAGTGAACTTGAAATCTTACCAGTGTAGGTCGTGGTTTTTAATCCCGTGAATTGAGAGTTTTTCACGTAAATGTTATTGTGTTATTTACTTACTACTGTATTCCGTGGAACTAATAGAGAATGAGGTTCTCTATATAGTTTGGTGGACCCTTTATGTACATCAATATGATATGCCCTATCAAAAAAGACTTCATTCTTAAGGTTCGGAGCCTAGACTTCAGGCGTTCGAGATAGAGAAAGTAGAAGTCAAAACAAAAGAATCTACTAGATGGAAAACAAGAACAACGGAAAGAAAATAAAAAGAAATTGCAAATGACTTAAGGTCCAAAGCATTCTGAATCTTGTTAATTAATATTAACAGTCACCATGTCAATGATTACAAGATATTGCCTCTCTTGAAAACGAAGGCGTTCACAATTACAAGGGAAATAAAAAGACATTTACATTTTTTGCTGTCTTGTCCTATTTAAAAAGGAAAACTGCAAATACAACGTCTTTCTATGTAAGCTAAATCCGGCTAATAATTAAACTATAAATTCATTGTGGTAATTATAACTCGTCTTCCTTCTCAAAATACGATGAGAGTTTGTCTCTTAACGTATCAAGCTCAACTACCATTGTTCCATGAACCTGCTTAACAATACACAAAGGAAAAAAACAGCAATTAGGAACAAACAAAACTCATCAAGAAAAAAAAAAGATACTATTTTCGCCGTTTCAAACGTACTTTATTCATAACTTTTCTTCTCCTTTTATCCTATGCTCTTAATCAAAGATCCCCTTTGCCATCAAATGCCAAAAGATGAAAATAAGAAAATAGAAGGATATTTTAGTAATACCTGAAAATGCATGGTATAGAAGACTCTATCTTCAAAAGTTTCAAAACAAGATGAATTTAATAGAGAAAGTCCTTCATCCTCTAAGTCTGATACAGCCTCAGCTAATGAACCTTTATTGATCTTCAAGGCAGATATCTGAATAACTACCTCTTTATCACCAACTTCACTTGCTGAAATAACTAATGAAGAGCTGTCTTTTCCTCCTCTTCTTTTTTGCTTGTTAAAATCAGCTGAATTTTCTTTATTAGAGATGGTTCTTGATGTAAGCTCTTCTTTCTTCTCAATTAGTCTTTCCACTTCATTTTGTAACTCTGGTATGTATTTTAGCACTCTTGATATTGTCGATGGAATACTTAACTTTTTCTGTGAACATAAAAAATTCATGAAGTCTCGTTAGCATTATTAATGGTGTACATAGGTTTAATCAAGGATGATCTTTACACCAAAAAAATGAAAAAAAACAATAGGATAATTTGAAAAAGAGATATCATACCGCATGATCAGAAGCTGGAAGCAAAGAACGAAGAGAAGAATATAAGCTATTAATCTTTTTTCTACGATCGCGCTCACTAGCATTGTGATTAAGCTTCTTTACCATATGATCAGGTTGATCATCATTATTAATCTGATCAAATTTCTTGGAATCAGAGTGTTCAAGAAGTCTTGTATGAGATGATGAATGAAGGGCAACAACTGAATCTGATGAAGTTTCTGCACTAGTCATGTTTAGTTCATGGCTTATGGGATCCTCCAAAAGCCACCCAAAGTTATTTGAAAACATAGGAGAAGAAGAAATGGCTAGCATTTTGCTAATACTATGAAGACTTGATCGATTTCTGCTTTGCTAATTTGTAATTAAGACAATGTTATCATGACATTTTTAGTATATATATACTTAACGACTTTCATTTAGGTTATACCTGATCAGCATAATACTCAAATAAATAAATATTTAATCACTTAAATTATATGAGATTATTAAAAAAAACAAGTTCCCAATTAAAGTAATCTTGGAGTATAACTCGATCGTGTGATTCCGTGGACAGTGTTTATCCACATAAGAAAATGTATGATTTAAGGGGTCATTGCGTGTGGGGATCCATGGCATGCACGAGCATTAAGTAGGTATCACTTATAAGCTCGAGTAATTAGGGGCTATGTCACGCGTAAACACGTTTAATTAATTAAATATGCCAGCTCTTGCTATTTAATATTAAAAGATTATGCGAGGTTCATTAATATAATTGAAGAACTAATAGAATCAAGAATATGCTACAAGATCTTTTCTCTTTCCTACATATATATAAAGGAGAATGTGAAGTTGCTTATACTGTAGATGCTTTGGAGTTCGTCTATACAAAACCTATTATATTTGGATCAACCCTTAAATATTTTATTTAGAAACTATTAGGAATGGTTTTCTCCTATGCTTTTTACAATTTAGGATCTTTTAAAAATTAAAAATGCATACATATCTTTGTTTGAGTCCGTACTCATAACTCATTGTCACGAAAAAAAAATACTTATAGTGATACTCTATAGTTACTATTTTATTTATTTTTTATTTATATCAAAAGATTCCACGACGCCAACTTGTCTATATATATTCAAAATAACAATAACACATAAGAGGACATAAATCTTAATCCTTAGCCTCCATTACATGGTATCAAATGATTTCGACCATTGTTGTGTACATTTGAACCTGCAAACCCTAACTTAAATTAAAGTTATAAGGGAAATTTTTGTAAATACAAGATCTATAAGAGCTAATTATATAAAGTTTATGTCACGATCCAAAATCCGTTAAAAGTCGTGATGGCGCCGGACATCACTGTTAGGCAAGCCAACACTAAATAATTAATTAAATTCTCATTTTAATATTTTTTGAAATAATAAATTTCCTTCAACTTAACTAGTAAAAAGGCGAACTTTACAGAATAATAATAATATTTTCCAATTTCAATATTGAGTATCTGTCACGACCCCAATCCCGGTCGTGATGACGCCCAACACAATGCTAGGCAAGCCCGGCCATTTACACATTCCCAAATCCAAATACGCAACCCATTACCAATTAATAGAGCTAAATTATCAGATAACATAATTCCAACCCGTAGTAATAGACAGAAATAGTGCGAAAAAACCATAACAAATGCCAACACAACTCCCAACAGATCTGGGGTCACGAGTCTAGAGCCTCTAAATACAACTGAGTAGCAAAATCTAAACATATGAAAGTCTAGGATGCGGGAAATCAAAGGGATAAGGGGAGAAGTCTGGTCCTGCGGACGCCGGGCAGCTACCTCGACAACTCCTGTGATAATCTGGAGAGCAGCAACAACTCTACTAAGCCTCCGGAACACCTATATCTGCACGCATGGTGCAGAGAGTAAAGTGAGTACTCCAACTAAGTGAGTAATAAGCATAGATAATGGCTGAAGATAAGAAATCACGAAATATTACAATGTAAAGCTATAATTGGCAAGCCAGCACATTTAACGGTGAGATAACAGTAAATCAAATGACAGGTAAAGCAAATAAATACCAATGCATGAATGCAATGCAATGCATATGACCGCTGCGGCGCGCAACCTGATCCATTTGGGTACCCGCGCTCACTGTGGGGGTTCAGACTCCGGAGGGGCTCCTATAGCCCAAGCGCAATATCGACATAACATCGCTGCGGCATGCAGCCCGATCCATGCTCAGTCCAGAATATGCAAGTAAGCCACTCGGGCAATATTAAGTAATAGCTCTCAGCTCCAAACGTCAGAAAAATGTAGTTTAAGTTTTTAAATCTTAGAAATATGACTGAACATATCAAAACAATGTTTAACTCAGGGCTGAAATCATTTAACATGCTAAGTATCATGGAAACAGTGATAATAATCCCTGAAGGATTCAAATAATCGGCACAAAGCCCAAATATATATCCAAGTAGGATGATTACCAATCAATCTCTAGTCAAGAACACAGTATGAACATCACTCGGGACGGACTAAGCCACAGTCCCCAATCACAAACGACCCCGCACTCGTCATAGAGTACGTGTCTCGCCGCAATATAGCGTCACAATGCGATATACCGGGGTTTCAAACCCTCAGGTCATCATCTACATCTATTACTCACCTCAAGCCGGCCACAAGTCTAGCTCGCTATGCCTTTTCCTCTCGAATCAACCTCCTCGCATGCCGAATCTGGTCAAAACCACAAGGAATACATTACTATAGGCCAAAGAAACATAACCCAATCGAAAATAAAATCAAACTCTAAGTCCAAGAATCCATACCTGATAAAGCCCTCGAAACCCTCTTCAAAATCGCCTCAAAGTTCTCAAGAAATGTACCCTTTCAAACGAAGAAGATAAATCTCACTTAACTGCCAGTTATTTTCGCTTCTGCGGACCAAATACCGCTTTTGCGACTTCCGCTTATGCGGTCAACGTTCGCTTTTGCGGACTTTTCACTTAAGGCCACTTTCCGCTTCTGCGGTCCACAATCGCATCTGCGGGACCGCTTAAGCGATCCTAATCCCGCCTCTGCGGAACCTGGCAAGGGCCAAGTTTTCCGCTTCTGCACTCCTCAAACCGCTTCAGCGAGACCGCACCTGCGGCCCCACAACCGCAGGTGCGAAACCAACAGATACCAGCAACTTGAACCTGCAATTAAACTCCAAAAACCTTCTGTTTAACCACTCGAACTCACCCCGAGGCCCCCGGGACCTCAACAATGCACATGCCCTCATTTTCATCAGTTTCAAGCCTAAGTTCTTCAAACTCTTTCGAAACTCACATTCGATCAAAAACCCAACCAGATCATCTCCGAATCACCTGAAATTTGGCACGCATATCCAAAACCGCCTAACGAAGCCACTAAAATTCTCGGAATTCCATTCCGAGCCCCGGATCAAAATCTCACCTACCAACCGGAATTCGCCAAAATACTAACTTCGCCAATTCAAGCCTAATTCTACACCGGAACTCCAAAATCACTTCCGATCACACTCCTAAGTCACAAATCATCTCCCGAAGCTAATCGAATTACCGAAATCACATTCGATCCCTCTAACTCGTTAGTCAACATCCGGTTGACTTTTCCAATATAACCCTTCCTTAAAGAGACCAAGTGTCTCATTTTCTACCAAAGCCAAACCAATTCGACTCTAACTCACCAAATGCCGATAATGGAACATGAAGAAGCAATAAACGGGGAAAATGGGGCGGTAACACATGGGACGACGGGCCGGATCGTCACAGTATCCCATAATCCTCCCAGAACCCGGTGTCACAAGTACATGAGCATTTACTAGAAAATAAAATAAAAAACAATAACCATCCGGAATACAAATTTGGACAGAAAAACAATAATACAAGTACTCTGAAGGAGATTTTGCTGGTTACGAATCGTCTCATAAGATGCAACTCACCTAAGTCCTTGTATCAATCGCGCCGCTGCGCCCACAAGGCCACTAGACATACATGTGCATGTACAACAAAATATACAGCAAGTGTAGTATGAGTACGAAAACAACGCGTACCCAGTAAGTATCCAGTCTAATCTCGAAGAAGTAGTGACGAGAGGTCGACTCCGACACTTACTATGGCCAACCATAATATACCGATAATATGATAAATTATGGATTTTATAAGGCAACTGTAAACTCAATAACATGAAGCAGGTAAACAATTCTTTTGTTAATAGGAGATTTCCAAATTTATTTTTATCTTTTAACAATTTATATCTCCGGCCAATGAGGCCACATCAATTATTAATAATTCCAAAACAATCAATTAAGTCATGCGAAAATCATGCTGAGGTCGTTCGGCCCGATATAACATAATATTAAACTGTGCACTGCCGGAGGGTCGAGCAGCGCGAACCATAAAATGCATCTATTTAATCTGCCGAGGCGTTGGGCCCGTTCCACAAAAGATAAAATATTCAAACAACCAAATCAAGGATTTATTTAGGTTTGATGTTCAAAGAAATATCAATTCTCATTAATGGTCAAGTGACCCGTCCAAACCCAAGTAAGTGAATTTTAACCTTTTGAAATTCCTTTATCAAGTTCCGATATATTTTAAGGGGTTAAATTAACAAGTAGGATGCAAGCATCGCAAATATAACGTGATTTGGTCCTAGATTGCCCGGACATTAGCATAATAGTAGCTACGCACAAACTCTCGTCACCTCATGCGTACGTAGCCCCCACAAATAGAAGCGCATATTGAATTATTTTACCTATGGGGTAAATTCCTTCTTACAAGGTTAGAAAGTACACATACCTCGCTCCGAAGTTCCATATTCGACTCCCAAGCCCTTCCGACGACACAAACCCATGCCCAACGCTCCAAGACTAGTCAATAATTGTGCAAACCCATAATTATATACTCAATTACTCATTATAATCTAATTTAAAACAATTTATAAACCCGATCGAAAAGTCGATAAAAATCACCCTCGGGCCCACGTGCCCGGATTCCGAATATTTTCGAAGATAAACATTTTTTTATAGTTAAAAATATATTCTATTGATACTCAAAATTTTGTACAATTGAGTCCGAGGAGCAGCTTTGACAGGCTACTCTCAATTACATCACAGTCATCTACTAACAATTTGTGTCTATCTATCCTATACTACTTCTCAATGCAGACACTTGTTAAACCAATTACAACAAGGTTTCAACTCTTAATTCAATTTATGAAATCTAATCCAGCTGCTGCAATGCTTCTTTCCATTTTCCTATGCTCCTCCCTCTAATATGTATGTGTATCACTATCTCTCTGCAGATTTGAAGATCATCAAACTTAGGTTTATCAAATCTGATTGTGTTCCTCTCCCTCCAAATCAATGCAACAGTCATGGCAAAAACACAGCTAGTTATAGCATTTGTTCCTCTTCTGCTCATGGCTTTCTTGCATGCCCATTTCAACTCTGTTTCCCAATCTCCAATGTTCCTCTTATATCCCAGCCGTAAATATAGTCTGGACCACAGTTTCTTTGTGTTGGTGCATTCAAAGAACAAGTGGCTAAAAGATTCCAGACTATGTCCACAGAATGCATAGGCTGCAGGAACTTGAATGCCAATCTTCAATAGTCTTTCCACTATAGCTAGCCTCTGCTGGCTGCAAGCCATAGGGTGAATCTATATCTTGGATGTATATTTTTTTTGAAGCATCAAACTTTTCCATTCAGCTCTGGGTAATCTGGTATCATCTTCAAGTACATCTGTTTAATCTGGAACTTTGCATTCTTACACATTGTCTGCGGCCTGCTGTGAATGTTTCCTTGGAGTTGTTGATGCTCCATGATCAAACTTCTGCTTTCTAGTATCTTCCTCACCACCCAAAATGCAGTCTTAGGTGTAGCCATTATTTCCAAGTTCCTATTCTTTATATAGAAGTTGTGCACCCACATTATCCATAGGCAGTCCTTCTTCCTTGTTATATCCCACAGATGTTTTATAATTGCTGCTTTGTTCCATATTTTTATGTCTAGTATATTGAGTCCTCCAGCAGATGTTGGCCTGCACACCTTTTCCCAAGCCAATAGTGCCCTCTTTGAGATAGTAGCAGTACCAGTCCATAGGAATGTTCTGCATATTGCTTCAATTTCTTTCATCACCTTTTTTGGAAGAACAAAAATCTGTGCCCAATAGGTTTGAATGCCAAATAAAACAGCCTTTATCAGTTGACACCTGCCAGTATAAGATAAAAGTTTTGCTGACCAACCGGTGATCCTTGCTATTATCTTCTCAATAAGAGGTAAATACTGATAGACTGCTAGATTCTTAGAATCTAAAGGGATCCCCAAGTATTTGAAAGGAAGCTTTCCTTCAGTAAAACCCAATGTTGCAAGGATTTCCAATTTTTCAGCTTGAGAGATTCCAGCCATGTATATAGCACTTTTGTTGACATTTTCCTGTAAGCCAGAGACAACTGAGAATCTGTGAAAGGGAGCATTTAGGATCTTTATAGACTCAAAATCAGCTCTGCAATACATCAAAAGGTCATTAGCAAAGCATATATGTGTGATGTTCAACTTTCTACACTTAGGATGGAAATTGAAGTTTCCATTCTTATGCAATTGTCCCAGTTCTCTACCCAGATATTCCATTGCAATAACAAACAAGTATGGAGACATTGGGTCTCCTTGCCTAATCTCCCTTTTTCCTTTGAAAGGCTTTGTCAGTCCTCCATTAAGTACCAAGAAATATGACACTGTAGCAACACATGCCATTATCCATTGCACAAACTTGAATGGAAAACCAAGATCAATAAGCATTTTTCTAAGAAAACTCCATTCCAGAGTATCATAGGCTTTTCTTAGATCCACCTTCATCACACATCTAGGAGAGACACCTTTTCTGGAGTAGCCTTTACACAGTTCATGGCTTAGTAGAATGTTATCAATTATTCACCTCCCTTCAATAAATGATGATTGAGAGTGATCAATCAACCCATCAAGAACAAATTTGATTCTTTTTGTAATGACTTTGGATATGAACTTATACACTATAGTACAACATGCAATAGGCCTATAGTCCTTAACTGTTGAAGGTGCTGGCACTTTAGGTACTAGTGTGATAGCTGTAGTGTTGATCATTCCAGGTAGGATGCTGGTGGAAAAAAGGTTCTTCACAACTGCAAAGATATCATCCTTCACTACATCCCAGTTCCTAGTAAAGAACTCCACAAGGAACCCATCTACCCCTGGTGCTTTGTCTTTAGGCATCTCCCATACTGCAGTTGTGATCTCCTCATTTGTAACATCCTGGATTAAATTTCTTTGTTATGATATAGTTAAGCATGGTCCTTCCTTGATTATAGCTGTGTTTGCACATGGTATTTCAGTAGTACAATCTCCCATCACAGACTGAAACACACTGATGAATTCCTGCTCAACCAATTTGGGATTTGTTATCTTTATTCCTGTATCAGTATATATGGATGTTATACTATTCTGACTGGATCTAGTCTTCCACTGAGCATGGAAATACTTGGTATTATCATCCCCACATTTAATCCAGCAAGCCTAAGACCTCTGTATTATCACTTGTTCCTCAATATTGCTCCATTTCACAATGTTTAGCTAATGTGTCTTTCTCTAAATCAAATAGGTCATATGCCAAAGGATCCTGCTGAATTTGGTTCTGAACAATATCAATTTTTTCTCTTGCCTGCTCAAGCTTTTGCTTGTATGAAGCCATATAGGCATTAGTGTCTTTCAGCTGTGTCTTCATAGTCTTCAGTTTGCACCAGATCTGTTGCACATGTGTGCCATCATAATTCTGACTCCAAACATGCTGAATAATATTCTGGAATTGTGGAAGCTCCATGACATTTGTGTATAGCCTAAATGGTTTAGGATGCAATAACTTCTGTCTACCACAGTTGATTAGGACAAGGGAATGATCAGAGACTGATGGATTCAAAAAATCTGCTTCTACATTACCATATTGCTGTATCCACTGGTAGTTTCCCAAAGCCCAATCTATCTTGCTATATACTCTTGAACCAGTACCTTGTTTGTTTGTCCAAGTGTAATGCCAGCCTTAAGCTCTAAGAGGGGTAAGCTGTAGAGAATTAATCACATCTTTGAATCCCTGTGTTTCAATGGTAGTTACAGGGGATCCTATTCTATCCTCGGAGGATAACACATTGTTAAAATCACCACTAAGCAACCATGTCTCCTGAGCCTGTATATCTATCTATCTAAGGTCCCTCCTTAGATTCTCCCTTTGTTGGCCATCATTCTGGGCATAAATGATACTAAGATGTGTTTTTAATTGAGTGCTAGTATCCTCTACTAGGCATTGGATGAACTGATATGTAGTGTGGGTAATCTGTAGTCGTATGTGTGCTCTCCACAGTATCCAAATTCTCCCATTCACAGCAGAAGAATAATTGCAGCAAACATTCCACCCTTGAGAAATCTTTTTTTTGTATTTTCTTAGCCTTGTGTTCTTTAAATATGGTTTCAATACATTGTCGCGCCCCCTTTTTCCTTCGCGAAATCGGGTTTATGACATTTTGGTTGGGACAACTCTTTCCTTTTGGGAAAGGGGTTTTGCAGTTTTGAAGAGTCGCCACCTAACGAATACACAAGTGTTTGAAAATGATTAAATAAAATAAAGTTTTGAAAGAGTTATAACTAAGCATGCTAATGAATGTAAAGGGGGTCCTAGGTTTGTTTGTAATATGGATCACATCAATGCAATACCCGGTAATCACTTCTCAAAAGAGGGGCTACACGTGGTATTAGCGCACCGGTCATCATATCCATATCTACCCTTCCCACCCCGTAAAGGTATTTAAACGCGGATTGGCCCATTCCTATCAATCCCGGAGGAATTTCAGGACTACTATTCTTATAAGAGGGAGGATCTAGGCTGACTCTTAGGTTCGCCGGGATGGCTGTTGCTTGCCGGTTTACATGCAAATAAGCAATACAAGCGTAGATTGTGCGTAAATTTAAACATGATGCAAATTCTTGTTGGACCATGAATGCTGTCTTTGAACGGTTTGGATGACGTCTTTAGACCATGATGTCCTGGGCCATGGAGCATATAATAAAGGATTCGCAAGCCATGAAATGATGTTCTCAGGCCATGAGGATGGTGCCTCCGAACCATGATGCCTTTAAATAATGATATGCAAAAAGATTGAAAGGGGTCCTCAGGCCATGACATGGTGTTCTCGGGCTATGAGGATGGTGCCTCCGAACGATGGCGCCTTTGGATAGGTTGGTGATATTTCAGCCCATGAAGGATGCAGTAGCATGTGGCGATCTTTCAGCCGTGCAATGTTGCAATCTTTCAGCCGTGCCATGTGGCGATCTTTCAGCCGTGCAATGTGGCGATCTTTCAGCCGTGCAATGTGGCGATCTTTCAGCCGTGCAATTTGGCGATCTTTCAGCCGTGCAATGTGGTGATCTTTCAGCCGTGCAATGTGGATGGAGACAGCGTTTAGTCTCGGAAGGCAGAATAGTAGCCTTATGCAAGTTGGAAGGCAGAATAGTAGCCTTATGCAATGCAGATGCAGATAGAGGTAGAGCTTAACCTCGGAAGGCAGAATGGTAGCCTTATGGAGGTTCGAAGGCAGAATGGTAGCCTTATGCAATGCAGATGCGGATAGAGATAGAGCTTAACCTCGGAAGGCAGAATGGTAGCCTTATGCAGATTGGAAGGCAGAATGGTAGCCTTATGCAATGCAGATGCAGATAGAGGTAGAGCTTAACCTCGGAAGGCATAATGGTAGTACAGATTGGAAGGCAGAATGGTACCCTTATGCAATGCAGATGCAGATAGAGGTAGAGCTTAACCTCGGAAGGCAAAATGGTAGCCTTATGCAGATTGGAAGGCAGAATGGTAGCCTTATGCAATGCAGATGCAGATAGAGGTAGAGCTTAACCTCGGAAGGCAGAATGGTAGCCTTATGCAGATTGGAAGGCAGAACGGTAGCCTTATGCAATGCAGATGCAGATAGAGGTAGAGCTTAACCTCGGAAGGCAGAATGGTAGCCTAATGCAAATTGGAAGGCAGAATGGTAGCCTTATGCAATGCAGATGCAAATAGAGGTAGAGCTTAACCTCAGAAGGAAGAATGGTAGCCTTATGCAAGAAATAAAATAGCAAATGACTGTAGAGTTTCTTAGCTGATATCAGATTGCGGCGCGGTGATTACTGGGAGCATTGTGACATACGGAACAATATGGATGTGTGCTGATAGCAGATGTTGGTAAGTGCAATAGTTCGGAGAATCGTATTCTTGAGCAATGTTTGTTCTATGGACGTATAGTACGTTCAATGACTTCGTAATCCTGGTGCCTGCATCCAAAGAAAAATCGTGAGTTTTGTAAAGGGGACGGTTAGTTCGTATCCCCGCTGGCTTTTCTTGACTCTTTCTGCTTTGATCTATTGATACCGTCTGCATCATTGGGGTAGCGTTGCTAAACAAAGCAGTTCCAATAATAAACATGCATGATTTTGTAAAAGCATAACATAAATGTATAATTAAAATAGTTTTTAGATGAACAGACGACTGTGACGCAATTCAGGACATTGCAACCTCTCCAGCTACGGAATTTTGAGGGTCCTCCTCAAAATTCTGCCCCAGTTTGATGGGTTGACGTTTCT